AGTACCCCATCAGCGCAAATGCTTGCGAATGTCCACATGGCTGGTCGATATGAGGGGGTCATGAGCACGCACGACTCTTATACAAAAGTTCAGCGCGCGATGCCTACCTGATTCTCGCAACATGAAGTTATGGGTCCTATACTGAAGGGACTAGGAGTGTTGTGATGTTCTGTTTGTTTTGTGTTTTTCCATGCGTTATGTGTGGGTAGACGTGAGTGTTGTGGTGTAACGCGTGGTGTGTGTGATGCGTCCTAGTCGACCGGCGCCGAGTCGCGTTTGGGACCTCAGCCCCCCAGTACGTCGATTCGCGTGCGGGTTCGATTTTCAGGCGTTCAACCGCGCGTAACCCCCTATGCTACAGCGAGCGAGAAACGCCCTCGGCTGGGCCACCTCTGCAATTGCATACGAAAAGCTTTCGCATGTGKTTCAGTAGCTCGGCGGGGATACGCCCACCTAAGGRATGGTGACAGCTCCCGCAGGTGGAGGTAAGYGGTGCCTCGCATGACCCTGTCCTGTCGTARGGGCTCGCGAGAGGTACGGCTGGCGCACTCGGCCGGAGCGGCTAAAACACTCTGCGACAAAGTCCTGCAAAATCCTGCGTGACGCGGCCGGGAGGGTCCCCGTGCGGGACCGATGCGCTCGACAGGGAACAAGACTGTCGCCGCGGCTAACATCGCGGAGAAACGAGCAGCAGGAGCATATGATAATCCGATACAGAAAATTGTCGAAGGAGAAGTGGAAGCAGGGGGCGTTGACCAGGAGGACATTGACACTGCTACCGATCTGGACAATGACGCACGAACCAAGGGGGAGATTGATTGTTTGTGGTCCTTATGTAAGGCATTGGTAGAATTTCGAAGGGAACACGAAAAACTTTTCGCTAAGAGGATAGAGAGACTGTATCGCTTAACTGTTATCCAGTTGGCAATTTCGGGCCAGGTTAAATGGTTAACCAAGTGTGTTGAGTCGTGGTATCGTCTGTTCGGTAAATTGGGTGTGGGATTCGTTGATTCTGCATGTGTTGTGTACTTACTTACCTCACCGTTTTGTAAGGCACAATATGTGGGGAAGACTTGGCGTAGCGTGGATGTGAGATGGCGCGAACACATATCGCGCTGTGACCATCGAAGTAAAGACACACATCTTTATCAATGGTTGCAATGTTTCGGAAGAGAGTCATATGTTCTAATTCCAGTCGAGGCAGGCAAGGAGGAGGAACTCATCGCTTACGAGCAGCTGTACATAAAACGCTGGAATCCAATTTTGAACACCAACGGCATGAGACGGAAGCGGAATAGGCGAAATAAACAGCGGCCTGGCAAACGAGAGAGGCAGCGGGGACAACATCAAGCTTCAAGAGAATAACAGGGAGGGAACATGTTACCGATCAAGATCCAAATCGGCGAGGAAGCTGAAGTAGTCAAGGTTTTCGACAAGCTAGCTGAGCTTGAGAAACGAGAAGTGCGTAAGTTTTAGCTAACATCTGCTGGAGGCAATGTGTGGATCGATGGATGGAAGAAGATCTGTCGCGGGTCTGGCACATCACGTGTGTCCTAGAAGGGTACAACGCTGACTCTTTCTAAATCGAAACAAGCTCTGGAAGAAGGTGGAACGTGTACGGTGCAATACTTACGACGATGGCACCCGAAAGGTACACGGGACGAACGTGAACTCACCAAGATCTTGCGCAATCCTACACGGATCGAGGAGTGGAAGAACAAGGATGCAGCCGAGTTATTCAGATTATACCGCGGGGCGAAAAGTTTCCAGAAGAAATTGACAAGATCATACCTACGGAGGTTAGTGTCACGAACAATCAAGAATGCGACTGGTTGGGTGATGGGAGCACATGTTAACGTGAAGCTGAAATACAACGATCGGGTGAAAGTTGTTGAAGTACGGAAGCTAACAAATGACAAGCTGTTGGAACTGGATTTACCTACTTGTATGATGAGACGAGCACGTAGCAAGTTAAAGATCGTTTGGACTAGCAACCCAACGGTGTCAGATTTGCTACACAATCAGAAGACTTTCGCTCACGCGGATGTCTGCACCTGCACATGTGCGGGGTTACCCTATCCAAGGATAGGAGACCATGTGCGGTTTCGTCTTCAGGAGTTGGGAGACATCGATCCGACGTTATGCAACGCTAAGAACGTCCCAAGAGCTTCACTCCCCAACCGATCAAAGTTACTACAAGAAGAGATCGAAGAAGCATTTGGCACATGGCAAAATCAGGGCGCGAAGATGATTCAGATATCTGAACATGAAGCGGAACGATGCATGATGAACAATAATAATACCGATACGAGGTTTCTGGACGTGACAACCGTGATGAAGCTTCGAGAACGGCTGGACGGGTTGATCTGTACACCTCTGGACAGGAACACGGGAGAGACGCTAGTTCTTTGCCCGCTGCTGTATCATGAGGCAATGATGACAACTTTTGTCTGTAATACGGGCAATCGGATCATGGACTGTGATGAATCCACTATTTTGGCAATGATGAAGGCGGACGTAGGGGTACACGATCTGAGGGGCTTCGTCAAGATGGAGAAGAAAGGGACCCTCGACCGAGCATATGTTCAACCGAATCATAAGGACTTGGATCGATACCGACCGATCTGCCCTTCTTACTGTGAACCGACAGTACGTACATCAAGAGTGGCGGCGAAAGCTTTAAATCATGTACTGTTCGCCATGCCAGAGTCCTGGCATTTTAACACGAAGGCGGGATCGGACCTCGTACCACGAATTGACAAGATAAATAAGAAGATTCAGAAGATTCGGAGAGGAGACAGTCTGGTGTCCTCGATGTCGTACGACATCAAGGACATGTTCAGTAAACTGCCACATGAGAATATCATGGAAGCATTGAATTGGATCATTGACTACTTCGTCTCGAAGGGCAAGAGGATGGTGCGAGTAAACCCACGTGGGAAGGGAAGCAGCTTTGGCCAGACGACGGGAGCAGACCATTGGCAGACGATCGATCTGGAGACACTCAAAAGGTTCGTTGAATTCGACTTGAAGCACACGTATACCACGGCTACCGGTGTTATCCTGAAGCAGGAGGTCGGCATTCCCATGGGGAAAAGCACGAGTCCTCCGCTAGCATGCATTATGTGTGCTTACGCCGCGGTCAATTTCATTTCGAGTCTGGGACATGCTAGGTCCAAGGTGTTTGGCATCAGATTGATTGATGACGTGAGTTTGATCACTGTGACAAAGAAGGACGACAAGGAAAATGCGAACCATATCAGAGAGCAATTTGAACACTGCTACCCAAGTAATCTCACTCTTAAAAGAACGGATGATGGCGGTGGTAAATGGGAGTTTTTGGGATTGGAGATGAGACAGCGGAATACATTTCCGTATGTTGAGAGCGTTCAGTTGTCCAAGAACGAGCGATCGGTTTGGACGGATGAAGGGCTCGAGTTCAAGAATGGACAGAGTTACAGATCGTGGGGAAGCAAAGGACACAAGAGCGCAGTAATAACCAGCCGCTTACATAGGATCGACAGAAACACGACGGTGAGGAGTGAGTTCCCAGACAGGGTGTTAACTGTGAGTCGGGAATTGAGGTTGATGGAGTTCCCTACGGAGTTCTTTCTTCGAGTTCTGAAGAGGTTCGCAACTGGCAGAGAACCCATTTGGCAACATATCTGGACTTGGCTGTCTAGTGACGTATCATTCTGTTTTTAGAACAAGTAGTAGTAGTAGTAGATTCTTAGTCGCTTTTCGTCTGAGGTACGAACGTACGTGTATTGCGTAAGGAATGTTGAACGTACTATGCATATCTACAGATACGGCGTTCGAATGTTTTGTTGTAGGGCAATTGACTGTTCTATTAGGGGTAGAGGCTTAGGCACGACGCCATGTACCATGGGACAAGGTAGTACGTAACTGGCTCGGTGCGATAGTTGTACAATCTTGCAGTTCTCTACTAAGTACATCTAGGGACAGGGTGTACCTGGCTTGGTTGGGATTTCTGTATTGTATTCTTTATGATTGATGGTTTTGTTGGTTTCTGAGAATATTTTTTGGTTGTATCAGGTTTTAGAATGGTTCACCCGTGACGACTAGTGTAGGCTTCGATCTTACAGTGGGTGGTTTACCATCAGGCTAGGCGTTGAACATTAATCCGCTGTTTTTGTTTTTTTGGTGGTCCCGATTTTTTCTGTATCAGTTTTTCTTTTTTCTGTTTTCAAGTTCTATTGTTTTTCAGTACCAGCTTCGAGATGAGGCCAAGGGACAGGCCGTGTTATGGACCGTAGGAGTAGGTTGAGTCTGACTCACGACTATTCCGGTACTATATCAACAATCATTGAATGGTCTACAATCCTCTTTGGGACCGGTAATGAACGGCCTCCACCAGTGATGGTAGGAGACAGGAAGATGTCGGTAGGTTGGTGGAACGACGACATAGTCGAGGAGGAAGACTAGGTGGAAAAGCCCCCTGAGGACGACCGCGTGGCTGCGGTCGAAACTGGTCGGGGTAGCCAAACCCTCCGGGTTGTGTTACTTTCAGTTGTTGTTGATACACGCGTCCTAATCGTGTTGGCTTGTGCTACATGGCTTGTGTGGACTAAGTACATGTGCATGACGGGTTGTGTTTTTGCTCGCACGTTCAGCACACGCAATAATCAACAAACCTCAACAAACCTTCTGGGGACTTCAAGTCCCCATCACATCTCGTCGCACCGTCTGGCGCTGTAGCTTTTTTTTTTTTTTTTTTTTTTTTTTTTTTTTTTTTTTTTTTTTACTAATAGTTTAAGTCGTTGACTCGTTGGCTTATGCCAATGGCTACAACTACACTGCACCCCCCAACCTCATCTACATGCGCCATGCTGTTATCCGCGCGACCGTTTTCAGCCGTGAGATCTGATGATCTCGCGGTCAAAATCGACCGCGCCTCACGTTTCTTTCCGGTGGGCTGTTCCAAAAGGAACCAGCTCAGTACGATGCCTTCAGGTTCGATCCCAGTGTCTGTTGGGTGATAGCTTGATGCTATAACCTACTGGGCTAGCTTCTATTCACGGAAGCTATACCCGCAACTCTTCTATTTGAAGAGCTGCTGCCCAGTAGGTCCCCCAGCCTCGGGACTAGGCAGGCCCGAACTGCCTTACCTCGGCAAATGGCCGCCGCCCCGCCATCTAACCGGCTGAGGCTTAGCCCGGTAAGCCCGATAAGCCACCCCTTTGGCCTACTCAGGCTCTGCATTGCGCGGCTGTCATCATTTTAAGTAGGATATGAGTTAGACTTAGTATTCCAACGCCCGTACGCCCCTCCGTACTCGCCAAACACGGTTGGTGACCGACCGCACCGCCACTATAGCATGCCGCAGGCGTTTGGACTTAAGCAAAAATTTAGTCTCTCAGTCGTAGGTTTGTTCTGAATAAACTTTTGGCCGACGCTTGTCTCATCAAGTTCCTTAATTTAACAACAAAAAAAAGTCAGACAGCGTCCGACGTTTAAAATCCCCGGCAAATACCCTTGTCAGGGTATTTGCCCCGACAACGTGCATTTATTATAGAGGCCTCAATGCCATCATTGTTAAGAACGCAGAGCCTCTACCCCTCATTGACGACCTTTTGGATAGGGTGGAGGGATGTAAGTACTTCACTAAGATAGATTTGAAGTCCGACTACGATCAAATTGCCATTAGACGAGAGGATCAATACCAATGCCGACCGCCAGCATACACCAGGTGCGTTCTCTCTACTCCCCTCATCCCACCCTGTCTCCCCTCTGCATGAGCCTCCTACCCGAAGACCACCATCGCCATCACCTGCCACCGCACGCTCAGCCCGGCCTTGGCCGCCGTGCGCCCGCTGCCACTGCAGCACCCTCTCACCTCTCTACCCCTGCGTGCGCCCTGGCCAGCTAGCACTAACGCAGGAGCGCTTGGCAATGCAACAACGTGGTCGCCATGTCTGCCTAGGCCAGAATGTCGCTGCCTGGGCAGGGCACTTTCCTTTATGAAAAGTGCAGCCCTGTGTCGTTGCCGCGTGGGCCTGGCTGGGGAAGTTTCGCGTACGTTTTAGTCGGGCCCCAGTATCTGTGCCCAGGCCCATCTCTGTTGTTACGGACCTGGGCCCTTTACAGTTGAACACGTCCAGGCAGCTGCCCAGGCTCCAAGTGTTTGCCACCTTCTCATTAGCTCGTGAAGGTTGTGTGACGACAATGCTGCTTGCTCATTCGTCTGCGACCACTGCCTGATGTGTCGGCCTCCCACTGTGTGTACCCAGGGCGCAACCAACCGGGGCCCTGGGCTCAACTGTGAAGCGCAACTATTGCTTCTAGAAGAAGCCAACAAAGGCTCGCGTTGCTTTGTAACCAATTGGCATGCTGCAACTGTCTGATACCCCACATATGGAAAAATGTCGAAAAGGGGCCTCACTTGGATATTCAGTCCCGCCTTCACTTAGGCCGGGCATAATGCTTGTTGGGGGCCACAACCCAAAACACTTGCATGTCGGTGAGGGCCCCGTGAGGGCTCACTCTTCGCATAATGTTCCTAAGGAGAAAGGCGTCGGGTACAACTTGGTATTCGATTGGGAAGGCAGTGAAGTGGTATGAGTTGGTAAACTGTTGCATACCGTAATAGTCCAGACCAAAACAAGAACCGACCTCCCTCACATAGTACAGGATAGCGCAGCGGAAAGCTAAAATACCAATGGTCAGACAATCAGTGACGCAATGCAGACCAAACAAACATACATCATCATCATCGCATGGTGTGAAGGGACCTGGCGCTCACACAGGAAGAAATGTGCCAGTCCCAAACATACACAGACGAAGAGGAGGGGGATTAGATGAAGGAGAGGGGGAGATGGGAATGTCGTCAATACCAAGTCTTCGGTACAGGTCCCAAATAATCCCTCGTCCAATATCTCAATCCCAATGTGGAGTCTGAATCCAAATGTCGTCAAGTCCCAAAGTCACCAATCTCTCTCTCTCTCTCTCTCTCTCTCTCTCTCTCTCTCTCTCTCTCT